CTATTCGAAAACTTCAATTAAATCGAATAAAAACATATGCTGAAAGAATTTCTAGAAATATTTGTTTTTTTTTAAAATTTTATTATTAAGGTTTGAAATACAAAATAGTTTTAAAATCTAGGGAAAAAATTACGCGTTTTTTGGAAAGAAATTTACCGGTATAAAATCGTATAAAATTAACGGAGTGTAAGTTAAGTAAAACAGTTAGTGTATGAAAGGGTTACATATACTGCGCACGAAAAATTAGTCAGTGGAATAATTAGCTAACGAATTAAATTAATTACATTAAAAAATTTCGCTAGGAAAAAAAACCTCTCCAAATGTCAATACTGATAACAGCACTGCAAATGAATGTTATTAAGTTCGTAACTTAATTAATCCTTTGGTACTCAATAATTTTGGCCCTCGCGGCCGAGCGAGTCGCTGTAGTCGGTGAGGTTCAATCCCGCAAACGGGCTGGCTGTTGGGCGTTTCCTGGTTTTCGCAAGTGTAACGTGTATTCGAGCCAGTGTCCATTAGAAAGTCCTCACGAAGGCATCCCTCCTCTTAGGCAGATGCCCTCGAGGCTTTGTCATAATCACATACAACCAAATCAAATTAAAAACCAAACTCTGTTTCGCGATTCTTGTAAAGATTTTTGATAAAGATACAAGAAAGCCCGCAGCGACTAGTAGAAATTGGCAGTTGAAGCGAGTTTAAATCCCGGTGAATGGGCTGGCTACCTGGCAGTTTTCGTGGATTTTTGCTGTCTAATAAGCCAATCTTATTTAAAAAGTCCTTCACGAAGATCTCTGAGTACTAGTCCTCGCTTGGGATTAGGTTTAGTTTGGTTTGTTAGATTATGATAAAACACGCAAAGAGCGATCGATCTAAAGAAAGTATGTTTCGTGAAAGACTGTCGAAGGAAAACTATCTTGTACCCGTGTTACATATAGGTAAATTCACGAAAACGCCCATGTGGAGATTGTGGGTTATATGTATTTAGAGGTAAGAGTCAAAACACGAGGTATGCGATGAATTTAAAATAAGGATATATATAGTAAGGATTTCGCCGCTAGACATTCCCAACGAAATTTGATAAATTTTTCTATATATAGAATTAATGTATATTCCGTTTAGTATATAAATTTAGTGTTATAACACTCTCCTTTATCAGTGTTATTCTGTGTTATATCGAGATTTAGTTACGTCCGATATAAGCATTTTATTTGTTTTATAAAACTGGTCGTTTATTGTATCATGTTTATAAATACGATTTATCAGGTTTTTAAATCTATCAGACCCAACAGTGACCTTCCTGGCTAAGACGCTGATTTCTACTAGTTCACTTGACTGAAACCCAACGAACAAAATTGTCTGTATGGTTGGGTTCATAGTTTTCCTATGTGTAACATGGATATGAGAGTTTTACTTAGAAAGCCCACACGGCGACTAGTCTATCCTTTAGACAGACGATCTCGTTTTTTGCCGTATTCAATATCGGACAAAATCTGAGAACAAGACTAATAAATGCATATACCATAATAAAAAAATAAGTGCAATTACAAAATAAAATAAGTGCATATTGAAAAATAAAATAAAGCATATAATGTAAGAAATGAGATCACAACAAATTTAAATATTTTTTCATACATAAGCCTAAATTGCATTATTTTCAAATTATTTCATTTTTATTATGCATTAATGCATATTTTATACGTGCGAAAGTGCGCTTGTTTAGCCGATCCCTATACATTAAATAAATCTGATTTGAAAATAAATGTAGTTGAGATTTTCGTAACTTGAAAATTTACTCGCAAAGTAATCTCTGAGAAAATATATATATTAAGAAAATAAAATTTTATCTCCCTACTTGGTTTTGTGTAAAACAATATAAAAATTAGCTTATTACTTGTTTATATCGAAAACAACTTAATTTTTTTAAATCTTACTGTCAGACCGGAAGTATAAAATTGGTCTTTTGAATACTTTTTTTTGGTGGTATTTCCTTGTGGAAGTAGTTAAACAGATAAAAGGCCGACCCTTGAAGAAGACATGACCGATTTCACTACCGAAAGACCTTTCCTCTAAATAGGGGACAGCCACTTATATCTTTGGCTTCTGCTTTGTAAAATAGTATAACTAAACCCATTGGCCCTGTTTGCCCGAATAGTTTCTGAGCAGCGCCGAACTTCATTTTCTAGGGGGGGCAAAAACTTAAAACTGCCGCCTCACTTATTTCCTTTACGTTTCTCTACAAATTGAATTTTTTAATAAACATAGAAATAGGTTAGGTTGAGATAAAATGTAAATCCATTTTATAGAAAGAAATTATTTATGTGCCATTTTTTGTTATAAAAGAATATACATAACAAAATTCTTTAGTTTCTTTACTTATGGCAAAGCATAAGAGGGCTATCTGCCTAAGAAGATAGATGCCTTCGCTGAGGGCTTTCGAAGAGTAATTGGCTTGTATGCAAATAACGCATGCGTGAAACGACGGAAACGCCCATGGAGCCAGCAAATTTGCCGAAATTCTAAACCCTGACCGAACTACCAGTGTTCAGAGTTTACCGCTCAGCCGCTGGAGGTCCGACATACGGTGTATTTAATTATGGCAAAGCGCACTAGGGCTATTTGATTAAGGAGAGGGATGCCTTCGTGGAGGACTTTCTAAGGGAAACTGGCTCGTATACACGTTACACATGGGGAAAACCACGAAAACACCCATGCAGCCAGCCTGTTACAATTCGAACGCGAAATGAGCGAAAGTTTCTTTTCTGCCAGTAGCAACGAGGAGTCGAAAAATAAACTTGGAAGAGAGCAGTCGCTCACTCGGTTTTCTCTCGATAGAATTTGATACGAAGGGGGATAATCCCCATCTTTTGATTTGAAATTAATCTCGAATTATGTATATATTGTAATATAAAAGATGTGTGTAAATAAAAGTCATTAAGACTTAATTAAAGTAGTGATTTGAATCGAATATACAAGTCGAAAGCTCTCCCAAATAGAATTATAGATTATAGAAATGACATATTTTATTGGTGCCTAAACCCGGGACTTTTGGATTAGAATTTTGAAAATTAGCAGATGGATTACCTGTAAACAGGTAAGCAATTCCTTTTTCTTTGAAAATTTGGAAAAAACTGAGTTTCAATATTGTGATTAGTCAATTTTAAACATGGAAGCTTTAGGCAACTGAAGCAGAAACGTACGAATGAACGCAGTAGCGTTACGAAATTAATTATAAAAATAGAATCTTTGTTGTCAGAAAATATCGAAAACACAAACGTTGAGGAATTGCAGGAGATGAATGAAACAATTCTCGAAAGAGAAAACACGTTGAAAATGTTGAATTCACAAATCGAAACTCAGTTAAAAGATGCTAAAGAATTTGAAAAAGATATTTCTGCAAGTGATAAATACAATGAACAAATTATGTCTGCAAAGTTTAGAATTAAAATAAGATTAAATAAATGTAATGAAAATTTGTCTGTGAAAAATTCATCAGATGCAAATTCTTTGAACACTTCTGTTTCTGAAATAAATGTATCGTCATCGGCTATGAAATTGCTAAAGTTAAATATTCCAAAATTCTCAGGAGATGCAGGAAAATGGTTAGAATTTTTTAACAGTTTTCAAGCTGCGATTGATCAGAACAAAGCGTTAACCAAGATTGAAAAATTCGTATACTTGAAATCATCATTGATAGGGCAAGCATATAATGTCGTTGAAGGATTTCAGTTAACCGAACACAATTAGGATTCATGTTTAGAACTTTTAAAAGAACGCTTTGGTAAACCAGAGAAAATTATAAAATCACATATGAATAATCTTTTGGACATAGAACCAGTTAAAAAGTCTTCTAACTTAAATGAGCTAAGATTACACGACGCTTGTGAAATAAACATTCGAAGCTTAAGTAATTTAGGAGTAACTTCGGGTTCGTACGGACACTTGTTAAATCCGATATTATTGAAATTATTGCCTCATGATTTGATTCTCGAATATTATCGAAAGCGTGATCCAAAAGAGGAATCTGATGTTACAGGTTTAATTGCGTTTTTGAAAAACGAAATTGAATGCCGCGAACAAACGTACGCAGTTAACAAACCGGAACCGAAATTCGTTCCATTGAACGGAAAGAATAAACACTTCGACAAGCACAAAAGTAATTATAAATACACAAACAATAAGTTTAACTCATAAGTTAACCCCTCGTCGGCGGCAGAATTATTAGCTCCTGTAAAAGAAGAAAACTGTATTTTTTGCAAAAATAACACACATAATAGTGAAAAGTGTAATATGAGTGTAAATGGAAACGAAATATATTGCGATTACAAGCTCGATGTTATGTTTGTCTGGCTCAAGGTCATCGATTTTCCGATTGTTCTGAGAAAAACTCTTGTGTATACTGCCACAAAAAACATAATGCAACCCTTTGTTACAAAAATGAGAAAAAAACCCGAAGCATCGCAATCAAAAGGTGTAGAAAATTCAGCGTCACATTAGCATCGGTAGGAATAAAATATTTTTACAGACGGCGACAGTAGAACTCTAAAGTAGGTCACGCAATAAATTAGTTCGTTGTTTATTTTATTTGACAGCGCTAGTCAACGCTCGTATATTCAGAAACGTCTGTCTAAACAACTGGGATTAAAAGTCGTGGGAAGGGAAGAAATAATGATTCATACTTTCGGATCTCAAGTGGCCTACCAAACAGAACTGTGCGCGAGTAGAAGTAAAAATAAAAAACATTTTCGATAACTAGGAATTAATTATTCAGGTTTTAGAGACTGATGAAATATCGAGTGCTGAGATAGACTATCCTCCGGAAAATATTCGAGAGTTGTTAAAAGATAGGGGAATAATTTTAGCGGATGTTGATCATGAGTCTTTAGATAACAACAACGTATAAATATAACAACGTATATATTATTGGAGCTGATAATTATTGGAAATTAGTAAAAGACAAAATTGAACGTTTTAACTCAACATTAGTTACAATGGAAACCAAAATGGGTTGGATTTTAATGGGGAAATTGTCTGACCATATCGACGATAAGGAAAATGTAACTAATGTCGTCGCAGTGACTTCTTTATTAATTCACACATCGAAGATTGAAAATTTCAGGAAATTAGATTTATTGGGGATTCAAGACCCTGTTGAAACAAAATGTAGAAAGGAAATAGAAATTGCCGCATTGAACCATTTTAACGAAACTGTTACCTTTAAGGAGGGAAGATATGAGGTTCAGTTGCCTTGGGTAACAGAAAAGGACTGTTTAAGTCAAAATTTCGATATTGCTAGACAGCGTTTAAACAGTACGACACACCGGTTGATACAAAAGGGCAAACTCGAGGATTATGAAAATGTTTTCACAGATTGGTTAAATGAAGGAATTATAGAAGAAGTCTTGAACACGAAATGAATAATCAGTGTCACTATTTACCACATAAAGGGGTATTCAAAGAAACTTCGACCACGAAATTGCGACTGGTTTTTGATGCTTCCTGTAAAGACAAAAATTCGCGCTCACTTAATGATTGCCTAGAAAAGGGTCCAAATTTGCTGGAACAAATTATTCCTATAATTTTAAGATTTCGCAAGAATAGAATAGGAGTTATTTCAGACATAAGAAAGGCTTTTTTGCAAATGTCAGTGAATAAGAGTGATCGAGATTTCTTACGATTTTTATGGTGGAAAGACTTTGAAAAGGAGGAACTTAGAGTTTTTAGACATAAACGCGTTGTTTTTGGATTGAATTGCAGTCCCTTTTTATTGGCTGCTGTATTAAGCCATCACATTGATCTAAATTCGTCTAAATATCCTGAAACAGCGGAAAATTTAAAAGAATCATTCTACGTAGATAATTGCATTGCATCACATCTGTTCCTGATGAAGAGACACTTACACGATTCATCGAGGAATCGAAACAGATATTAGATTCTGCGTCATTCGATTTGAGAGGGTGGGAGCACACTTCTCGTTTGAAATCTGAAGACAGTATAGAACCTACTCCTGTGTTGGGAATTTTATGGGATAAGGAAGATGATAGCCTTTTCTGTGAGGTGAAGACTGCTACTGACAAACCAGTGAATCTTACTAGAAGAAATATATTGTCTGCGGTACATCGCATTTTCGACCCCATGGGTTTTCTCTGCCCTATAACGCTAACACCTAAACTACTCATACAAAAGACATGGTTGTTAAAAATTGGTTGGGATACAAATATACCCGAAGACATAGGAAAAGAGTTCTATTCGTGGATTGATGATTTGTCACTTTTATCCAGTATTATAATTCCAAGGGCTTTAGATATAAATGGAAATGAAAGTCTTAGTCTTCATACGTTCTGTGACGCAAGTAAATAAGCCTATGGATGTGTGATTTATTTAAGAAAAGAAACAAGTGAAAATGTATCGGTGTATTTTCTTCCAGCTAAAAGTAGAGTTAGTTCATTAAGAAAAATGACAATAAATCGTCTAGAATTAGAATTATTGTCCTGCTGTATAGGAGTCAGACTCGCAGCTCTTGCTTTACAAACACTCAACTTAGACAACGTTCCAAGGAACTATTGGACAGATTCGAGTACTGCTCTTTCTTGGATCCAAAGAGATGACCATTGGGCACCATTTGTCGCAAATAGAGTAAAAGAGATACGAAAATTGTCATCGGAATCTGAATGACGTCACATTCTAGGAAATTCGAATAAGCAGATATACCATCAAGAGGGTGTTCGATTAAGAGTTTTGTGAAATGTCGCTGGTGGCAAGGGCCAGAATGGCTTATGAAGAACGATGAAGAGTGGCCAACTAGTGAAGTGATTACTAACGAAGAAGAAATTATGAAAGAAAAGCGAAAGAACATTATTTCGACTTTGGCTAATATCACCTCTGAAAAATGGTATCTGATTTACTTGTCAAGTTACTTTAAAATTGTGAGAATGATTTCTTGGATTCTAAGATTCATAAATAATTGTAGACATGGAGAAAGAAATTATGGCCAAACCCTGATGTTGAAGAATTGGACATTGTTGAGAAGAAATTAGTGAAGATCGTTCAACAAGAAGCATTCTCTAGTGAAGAACCGTTGAAGGGACATTTTACTTTCAGGCATGAAGAAGGGATTATAAGATCGAAAACGAAGATTTTGAGAAGACATGATGATGAAAATTTCCGGCGCCCCATTGTACTTCCATCCAAACATGAATTAGTAGAAAGAATGATACAAGACTACCATTTACAACTTTTACATGCTGGTATTCAAGTTCTTTTGACCAATATTCGTCAAAAATTTTGGATAATAAAAGGAAGAAAAACAGTACAGAGAGTCATATCGAAGTGCGTTCGGTGCAAGAGACACTCGGCGAAAGCTCTTAATACAGTGCCTTGTCCTCTCCCAGAAGATCGAGTCAGAGATGCTTATGCATTTGAGGTGACAGGTGTTGATGTAGCAGGACCACTTTATTTAAAAGAAAATAGAAAAGCTTGGATCTTACTTTTTACTTGTGAAGTTTATTGTGCGGTTCATTTAGAATTAATTGAAAGCTTATCGACTAATAGATTTTTTTCTCGGATTTAGAAGATTCATAGCACGAAGAGGGCGGCCTAGAGTAATATATAGTGATAATGGCACAAATTTAGTTGGGGCAAGGAATTTGCTCCGATCTGTTGACTGGAACCAAATTATCAGAAAATCTTCGATAATGAAAATTCAGTGTTAGTTAATGCTGCGGTTATGAAGTTAAATCCACCAACCGCAGCATGGTGGGGCGGCTGGTGGGAGAAACTAGTTCAGATGATCACGAAATTATTGAGAAGAGTCCTGGGAAAAGCATTACTTTCATATGAAGAAATGTTAACTATCCTGTGTGATGCAGAAGCAAATATCAACTCCAGACCATTAACATACGAGTCAAAAGATTCCACCGACTTATGTGCACTCACTCCCTCTATGTTTGTTTATTCAGGATGTGCGAACTGAAGGTGTTCCGGATCTAGACAGTTTGGATAAAATCAACTTATCGAAAAGATGGCGATACCACCAAAAGTTACGTGTGAAATTTCGTAAAAGATTTAGAGATGAATATCTTGGTATGTTAGTACATCGACCAAAGACTGTACCTTCGCGAACCATCAAGAAAGGGGATTTAGTGTTTGTAGAGGACGATAAAAGGAAAGTACCGACTGGCCTATGGGTCGTGTGATCGAAACATACCCAGGAAAAGACAACAACATCAGAGTGGTGAAAGTAAAAAGTGGTGAACTGTTAAGACCAGTTCAAAGAGTATTTCCAATGGAGATAGACAATAAAGAATCTATCTTCGAGCTTAAAACTACTGAATCATCCACATCTTCGAGAAATACTGGTAAAATGAATGATTTAGTAATTGATACCAAAAACTGTGAACTTGAAAATTCTGATAAAAACATTCAGTTTAGTAGATATGGCAGAAAAATTGTGAAACCAAAGAACTTTAATTAGTTTAATTTTGTTTTCAGTACCACTATTATTTGTTTTCTTTATTCCTTTCTTTGAATTTAAATTTTGTATACAATTTGATTTTCCAGTTTAGTGAATTAATCTCTTTACTAGTATTTTTCAGAAAAGAATATTTTGCCTGTTGTTTAAAGAATATTAAGTAAGTTTAAAATATTCAAGATATTTGTTACGCCTAGATAAAATTGTTGATTTTGGTAAGATTTAAATTACTCATCTTAAATTCGTATTTCAATTTTCATTGCACAATTGTTTTGATTTTTTCATACTTTGTCAAAAATCAAAAGGTGGGAGAAATGTTACAACTCGAACTGAAATGAGCGAAAGATTCTCTTCTGCCAGTGGCAACGAGGAGTCGAAAAACAAACTTGGAAGAGAGCAGTCGCTCACTTGGTTTTCTCTCGATAGAATTTGATACGAAGGGGGGGGGATAATCAACATCTTTTGATTTGAAATTAATCTCGAATTATGTATATATTGTAATATAAAAGATGTGTGTAAATAAAAGTCACTAAGACTTAATTGAAGTAGTGATTTGAATCGAATATACAAGTGGGAAGCTCTCCCAAATAGAACTATAGATAATAGAAATGACACAGCTCGTTCGCGGAATTCGAACCTCGAACCGAACTATCACTGTTCCGCGACTTTACGCTCGGCCGCTGGTAGGCGGAAGCCGGACATACATATCAAAAGTTACACGGATAAAAACCGTGCGAACCCTCCTAATGCAGCCGTCTCTCCGGTGCAATGAAATAATCAAATTTACATTTTCCCTGAAGTAGGTATTTTTTTCAATATTTGCAGCAATAATTACTCATACTAATAAATGATACTAATAGAAAACGATTCAATGCAAAACACTAAAATAGTTCAGCATAGTACAAAAATGTTTACATGAAATTTTGTACTGTATTTAACACATGTGCACTGCACACACATTATTAAATAATTAAAAATTTCATGTAAACAAATATAAGCAAATTACAAATCACTGATGCAATGGATTGAATAATTTTATACAATTCTCTATACTAACAGTAACTTTAACCTAGCTCGTTAAAATTCGCAATAGCGCTTTTATGTAAACTACTCAAGAACTCTATTATCTTCCTCACACAGCTCGATAAGATATATTTATATATTCAAAATATTTACATATTCACACTATTTTTGCACTGTAATAATAAAATTTACATAGAAATTCTCTGAAATATGCAGTTTTGAAATATTTGCAACAATAACTAGCCAAACTAATGGAAAATGATTCAGTCCTAAATACTAAAGCAGTTCAGCATAGTACAAAAAATAGGAATGACAAATTACTAATTAATATCTGAAACAAATATATACAAGTTACAAATCACGAATGCAATGGATTCAGTAATTAACACACCAATATCTCGAAATTAACAGTGATTTTAACCTAGCACTTTAAAATTTCATTTCACTATAACGCTTTTATGTAGACTACTCAAGAACTCTACTATCATCCTCACACAACCCCATAACAGTATAAATATTTACATATTCACACAAAAGAAAGAGCTCTTGGTTTGTATGTTATGGCAAAGTACCCGAAGGATATCTGCCTCAGCCAACTTGTTCGCCTGCGATTGAACCTAGCATACAGCGGTTTTCAATTCGGTCACTAAGAGGAGCAAACTTTCAAGAAAAACTGGCTCGTACTCATGTTACATATGAGGAAAAGCCACGAAAACTGTCATGCAGATAAATCATTCTCTTGAATTTTTTGAAACTTCGGTCAAATTACCAATGTTTAATGACTTTACCACTTGATCGCTGGTGATCGCTGTGTGTTAACAATATATTAAAGAAGATAGAAGGTACAATATTAGTAAACGCAAAAGTGCTCTGAATATAGATTTACATATCAGGTAAATGAATTATATTTATCTCTATGCAACCATGAAACATTATATCACAAAAATATAAAGGAAGAAGAAAATGTAATCAAAATATTATTAGCATTTGCTATTATTTCCGGTATGGCTGAAAATTTTTATAAAAATTGTAAATGAGCTATACTACTACTCACGTTAACTTGTATTATAAATAGCAACAGTTAGAGATAGTATAACTCAGCGTCATCTCTCTTTAAATATAATTTTATTGAAACCTAAACCTAAACTGAAAAATAAGATGCACACTAACGATTCATCAACATAAAGATGTTAGAAACATCTTCTGTTAACTAGAGTTATGATGCAGAACTTTCTAAAAATTATCATTTAAATACAAATTGGATGAATACAATACAACAATATACAAATTCTAAGCATAGCAAAAGAAATATATAATGCAAGTTTAAAAGAAATGGGTTGGAACAGGACATTAAAAACTTTAAGCGATGAATAGAAGGAAGTTAGAAAATTTTTGTATAATTATGAACATGTTTTCATATGTTCATAATAATTAATTAAACGTGTAGGTGTGTTTAATTAAATTAAATGTGTTTCATTGCATATCGGTGGAGAGAGTATGGGAAACAAAATAAATTTTTTAACATTTCTTAAAATATGGAGTCTGTAAGAAAGTTAAGTAACTTCATTCAGTGATTAAAAATTGGAAAAGTAAATAATGGCTAATATGACATATATATAACAATATTTGTATGAATTTAGAACCATTTAACAAGCCGAATTTTGGGATTCAATGAAAAGAATTTTAAAATTAGATTAGAACTAATTCCCTAAATGTTGAATTGAAATTTAAGATCTAGAAATTCCTAAATATTATCTAGACAAGACAAAAAATAATAATAATATAATAATAATAATAATAATTAAACTGTGCTACAATTAATTTAATACCGTAGTATCTTCTCTAAATCCGATATTTGATAGGTTCATTTAATATATATATAGATATATATATCAATTTCTTGTAGTTCATTAATTATCTGGTTACATATGTCAAAACTATATATTAAACATTACCTCCAAAGTGAAGTTAAAAGTGGACAAGTAATGTTGAAACTAAATAGGAGAAAATTCCAATTAAACTCTTATTACACTTCTTAAAATTATATCAGTAAATATGGATGGCAATTTTAAGAAACACAATAACTCAGTTTAATTTCAATTTTTCCTATTTAGTTTTGAATTAATTGACCACTTTTAATTTCAAGAATTGGGAGATAATATTTTAGTACATTAACTATCGCTTTGCAAGATTTTAACTACTTAAGTCCCAAATTTTCTTCTTTATATATAATTGTCAAAATAACATATAGCAGCTAAAAGTTGCAACTTGAAAATTTTTTAATTCCTGTGGAGCATAAACAAGTTCTACTCATCATTCTTTATTATAAAAATATAATATGAGTATAAAAGAAAGTAATTTGTTCGTAATTCATAGTTTCTTCTTGTGTGTCACCTTTGTACATTAAAGTGAGGGACTGAAAAATTGACCATTGTTAGTTGAGGAGGAGAATTGCATGGAGGTAGGAAATAACCTCCTTTCTTACCTCCATAATAGAGAATTGAGGAGGGCTTCAATTAATTCCGCGAAGTTGGTATACAACTGGGCAAGACATTTTGAAGTGAGCTTGAATAAAAGGGGCAATACTCCCTTTTGGGAAGGCAAGTGAAACGGCAGTGAAAAATCAAATGAGGTTGGTCAACACCCCCCTAGATCCTATTATATTTACGGCTGTGTTGAGGTTGGCAGAGGCGCGAGCCTCGAGGGCAGGGTCGTCTGACCTTGTCAGTGACGCCTGGAGTTCCCTCGATTGTCCTCTCTCTGATCTTATCTTTACAGTCGTATTCGGATGTACTTAGCTTTCTTTTAACTGTTTGTTTCATTAAAATGTTTGTTAGTAATTAATTATAAATATTCTTAAAAGTGGTCTTTAAAATTACTAATATTGTATCAAAAATTAGACAACATTCCAAATACGATCCAGTAAACACTTGAATTGCCGCCGGGGCACAGACCCCCTTGCCCCCCTCTAGATCCGGGACTGCTTCTGAGAAACCGTTTGCAAAGACTTCCTGTTCCCAAGAATCAGTCAGAGACCAAAAATTTGTTGTCAACATTTCTGCTCTCTCTTTCTTTCT